CATGTAGCTGTTAATATTGTTGTTGTACGCGTACATGGGTACACGTTCGTGTATATGACACATACATACCTGCAGACAGACAGACGGACGGGCGGACGGACAGACGGACAGACCGGACAGACAGACAGACCGGACAGACAGACAGGCAGGCAGACAGGCAGACAGTCGGTCAGTCAGTCAGTCAGTCAGTCAGTCAGTCAGTCAGTCAGTCAGTCAGACGTACATGCGTGCATACGTGCATACGTACATGCGTACATACCTACATACATGGATACATATAGGTACATACATAATATATATATATATACCCAATAGATCGGTTAAGGCAAATTCCTAACTAATAGGCAATAGTTAATTTTGAGCATCAAAATTAACTATTAGTTAGAAATGGTGAATTAACTAATAGTTAATTTTAGAGTTAATTTTAAGATAAAATTTTTAACTAAAAATTAGTTAATTCTGTGGAATTAACTATGGAAATTAACTTTTTTCAATAGCTGAAAAGTCATGAAATTGATCAGAAATAAGCATGAAAATCCAGAGCCAGGATGCATACACAGTAAGCATGGTCGTATCGTGGCCTCCCTTCCCTGGCCCTTGCCCTGCAGTGCGGGTCACAACCCCAGGCGACGGATTTGACACCGCCTTAATGCGGGCACCGCAGGCCCATGAGTCACGACACCCCTCTTCTTGCCTTCCGCCTGCAGATTAGCACCCCAGCGGGCACTTTAGCTCATCGTCCCGCTGTCATACCCCTCGAAAGGGGCGTTGGCTTCAAGGTGCCTGGGCCGCCCTGTCACCCGGCCAACGGTAACACACCGACCAAAACCCACAAACCGGGAAGTCAGTGTAGGTAGGGCTGAGAAAACTCTGACAGCTCAAAGTTTCGCAGAACAATAACCATGTCGAGAGCTCAAACATTCGCACCAGTGTGTCCATGGTGTGTATATTAGCTCAGAAAAGGTTTAGGGTTATCAAAACTGCAAAAATAACCATGTGGAGAGAGTGCACATGAAAGCAAGCATCATCATGTCTCATATAGGAGACGTGCATCGGAAAGTAACCATGTGCAATTCCAAAGCTTGAACCCCAGACAAAACATCCTTGAATGTCCTGGCAACTCCAAAAAACTTGAACCCCAGACAGAACACCCACGAACGTCCCTGAAGCTTGGTTTGGATTTTTTTTGGTGTTCAGGTGTAGGATTGGGAAGCGGGTCGTCCCTAAAACTCAACCCCAAAAAAAAAATCCCACAGTAACCATGACAAAAGCAACAAGCTTGAACCCCACAGTGAACAGCCTTGAACACCCTGGAAGCTTTGTTGGGATTTAGGGTTGTTTGGGGTCGTCCCTAAAACTCAACCCCAAAAACCCATCCCACAGTAACCATGACAAAAGCAACAAACTTGAACCCCACAGTGAACAGCCTTGAACACCCTGGAAGCTTTGTTCGGATTTAGGGTTGTTTGGGGTCGTCCCTAAAACTCAACCCCAAAAACCCATCCCACAGTAACCATGACAAGTGCAACAAGCTTGAACCCCGCAGTGAACAGCCTTGAACACCCTTGAAGCTTTGTTCGGATTTAGGGTTGTTTTCACGTGCAGGATTGGGTTTAGGGTCGTTCTTGCTACTCCGTCTGAGAGGAAAAAGAAAAAGTAACCATGACCAAGTCTTCGAGTGGAAAGAAAGCGCTTGTGTTTTCACTCAACGGACGACAGGTGCAGCCCCATCCCTATTCGCCAGTGTTCCAACATCTTTGTGTTGGCAGCAGCAGCCTTTGTGCCACGAACGCAGTTTTGTGCCACCTTGCGAGTGATGCCCATGAAGTCCTCATTGGCGAAGCACCAAACCAGCCTGGGATTTACAGTGCCAGCCAACAGTGCACTGTGCAACACCATGTGCAGCTTCGCAGTTGTGTGGCAGAGCCAGGGGCAGTCTTCTTGCTCATGGAAGTGGTCTGCCACGAGTCCATGCAAGTGAGCCATCTGGAAGGCTGCTGCCTTGAACTGGTTCGCCGCAGCCTGGGGGAAGAAGTCCTCATCGCGGTACTCGTCCAACAAAAGCTCCATCGTGCAGTTGGTCTTGAGCATGGCGAGGATCATCCTGTGGAGCTGCAGTTGCCCGTTCATGTATTTCTCCCAGAGGTGCAACATGGGCAGAGCCAGGCCCTTGACTTCAGCTGCTCGTCCCCGAAGCTTGGGGGGCCCGCTTTTGCGGACGAACATCGTGAGTCTGTTGAAGTAGGCATAGCGATGCTTCACACCGAGAAGCCGGTAGAGCTCTTGGAGCTCACTCCAAATTGTGAGGAGATTGGCTTGGGGGGTGTCCGTCATCAAGTAAAAGCACATGTAGTAGAAGAGGCCCCCGTACACGTACATGTCCGATCCAAGATATTTGCTATGCATATAGTCCACTGCAACTGTCGCTCCAGACACTGCAGGGATGTCGAACAAAGGGCATTTGCTCCTCTCAGGAAATGCCCTCCAGCTCGCCGGGCGCCAGCAGAGCCCGACCCACGGAGCAGTCTCTCGGAAGTTTCTCCAATTCATGGCAGCTCCTGAGCCGGTTGCAGGGCACAGGGGACAACAGTTCTCATTGCTGCTCCAGCGTGGGAGAGACAAAGATTTGGCGAAGAACTCTAAGTCCCCTTGCAGGCAGACAAGGACTCCACAGAACCCATTGGCCAGCCAGTCGCCAGCCTTTCTTGCAGGCACAGAGCCCTCTGGGAACCTTTGCTGAGCTTTGGTTGGACAGATGCAAAAAAGCGCCAGAACAGTATACAGTAATCATGGCAGCAGACGAATACAAAAGAAAACTTGGGAGCAGGAAAAAGTAACCATGTAGCGAACCCTCGTAAATATTCATATGGCAACAAAACCATCTGTGTATATATACATAGATATATATATCTATCTTAATCTATATATACAAACATATTTGACTGAAGAAAAGAATACTTTATGCGGCCAGGCTCGGTCTTCCTTTCCAGTCGTGGGAAGGCCACTTGCCGTGGTAGAGGGCTGTAAAGGACCACTTGAGGATCCGAAAGAAAGTCTCCAACGTCCCATTGTCACCGGCGACAAGAAGCTGCTCGAACACAGACCAGACCAGGAACAAAGTTGCCTTGCTGCCGCCCCTGCAGAGCATACAGTGCCAGTTGAAGGTCTGCAGGAGCTTGGCCCAAACTTTGCCCAGGCCAGTGGTTGGGACGGCATCGCCGTGTAGTGCCAAAGGCAAGCAAGTTTTTCTGAAGTCATCTTTGTCAGCCAATGTCCCATCCGCCATACACGGATGCTTGTCGAAGTGTTTCCAGAAAGCCTGCAAAGCTGGAACCCCACCAGGTAGAAAGGAAGCTTGCCAGTACCCTGGATAGTGGTGGTAAAGTGCCGAAAAGACTTCGTGCGGCAGCATGAAAGCTTGAGCACTTTGTCCAGTCTTGAAGGGCAGGACCTCTTGAAACGGCCTCGGCAGCTTGCATTTGCCAGGCAGATAAGCCATCAGGTCCCTGTGGCAGTTGTTTGAGTGGGCCCCTGCAGTGCCTATTTCTGCAAGCTTCTTTAGGCGGCCCGGAACATCGCTCTCTGTCAAGCCAGCTGCCAACATGTCCTTCTTCGTCAGAGCAGCTATTCGCTGGACTTGCTGCGGCGACAAGTCCCCCCATGCCCAAGCCTCCTCAAGGAATTGTGCCAACCCAGAATCCGCAGTAGAAGACGTCGCCGGGGTTTCCTCGCGAGCCAGCTGTTGCAACCGCTGTTTCTGTCCTCCTTTTCTTCGTTTCGGGGGTGGGACGTCGTCATCGTCCATCATCGCTCTGTCGCAAACGGCTACGGAGATTCTGCACACTGTTTTTTTTTGGTTTGTACCTGAAAAAGCTTTTCTGTGGGTTTAGGGTCTACTAAGAAACAACTTTTCCTTCACCTCAATTAAGAAACAGAACAGAAACAGACCTCTGAGTCTGAGCATGAGGGTCGCGAGACTGTTGCTTCTTGACCACGGAAGAAGAAAGCAATCATGGCAGATGCACTCCAGAAAGAAACAATAATCAAGCACAGTCGTGTATACACAAGAGAACAATAAACATGGCAGGGTTTACGGTTTTTGTAAGGAGGCCATCACATATGCACAGAGCACAGTGCATAACCCCAAAATAATCAAGCACGGCTTTGGACCGCTGGAAAATAAACATGCCAAAGCGGAATAATCATGCCAAAGCACTACAGAAGCGATTGCAAGTCCATGTGATAAAAGCTATATTGAGAAAAGTAAGCATGCCAGCTGCACACACAGCAGTCTAATGGTCGCCACCGACACTTGACAGCACATCTCGCTCATTTTGGCGCCCCGGCTCTTGTCCGACTTTGTCGCAGGGAACTTCTTTCTGGCCACCCTCTTCGAGGCTTTTTTGACCTTGACTTTTTCGCAGTTGTGAAGACCTTGACTGGGTTTTCTGCTGCTGTGCAGAGTAAGGCGAAGTCCAAGGTCTCAGCCTCTTCCCCGGCAGAAAGGTTTGAAGACTACTGTCAGGGACCCCTCTCTTCTCGGACACTTTCCAAAACGCCACCAGAAAGGAGACTGGAGCCCGGCTGTGCGGTCTGTGTGCTTCTGGCGACCAAAAAGCAGACAAGTCTATGTCTGTATACATATGTTTATCAACCCTACACCCCTAAACCCAAACAGACCAGCTCTAGGTTTGAAGCGGGCCCGGCCTTTTGCTACGTGTCTACGGCAACCCAGCCAGTCGCAAGCACAGACACACACAGTGTCTAGTGGCCCGGAGCTTTTCTGTCCTGGCCGAAAGTGGTGAGAAGGCCCTTTTGTTTCTTGAAGCCTTGGAGAGAAGTTCAAGGCAGATCCTAAGAGCCCACTGAGCGCCCAGAGATGTGCCACAGGAAATCTTGACTGAAGTATTAGCATACACATGTTTCTTATCTACATAAAAAGTACCTTTCTAAAGAGTCCTACTCTAGACTTCGGTACATCTCTGGGAGACACAGCGAACTCAGTCAGCCCTCGCTTTAACCACTGCTTTGACCTTCTCCAAGGTCTCGTTGGCTCGATCCGTGTCATCCCCCAGCTGCTGCATGAACTTTTGGACGTTCTGCTTGGAGAGCCCTCCCGGCACTTCCTGGGAGAAAACATTGGAGGGACAACAAAAGAAAACCCTGCACTTTCAAACCTCACAAACTGTTTGTTCTTCCAACACACATGTTCAAACAAATGTTATCCAAAGCCAACTGTCGTTCCACGTCAAGCAGTCACCGCAGACAGAGAGGCTCTTCGCCAGACTGGCAAGCACAGACTTCAGGTCCTGGACCCCGCAGACAAAAAGTCAAGACAAAAGTAACCAAGTTTTCTTGCTATGAAAATAACCATGCAGATTTAGGATCGTGACATAAGGATGGGTTGCTTGCCTGAGACCACTAGAACCAGAACAAAAACTATGAGTGTGTCTATGTCTACACAGGCTTTAGGGATTAGAAGAGGGGTTAGGACTATGTGTGGATCTCCTCGGACAGGTCGTTGTCCCCAAGAACCTTGACCTTGGAGACGTAGCGCTGGGCGTCCCTCTGGAGCCTGTCGAGGGCCTGCTTGGCCTCGGTCAAGTTCGTCTCCACGACTTTCCACTTGACCTCCACCTCCACTGCTGGCTTGTCTTGCAGAGCCAGCTGTCGCTGCCCACTGGAGCTCCCCGAGGACAAAAGGGCCTCAGGGCCGGACTCCCTGTTGGTGGCGGAGTCAAAAGACTGGGAGCCCTGCAAAGCCCAGGGCCTGCCACTGAAGAAGCTAGTAAGGGTGTCAAACTGGTCCACGGTCAAAGCAGCACAGCCGCCACTGAGCTGCTGTGTGTCAGTCGAGGTCTTGGTGCGGCCTTGCCTCACAGTCAAGGTGTGGTACAAGCCGCCTCGCTCGTACACGTCGCCACGGTTCAGGGCCGTGGTGAAGGCCTGCTCGTTGCCGTGGAAGACCTTCCACAACATGACGGAGTAAGTCTCCCCCGTGCTGTAGCCCTCGGAGAACTTGGTGTCCGTGTTGGCTTTCCACGACTGAAAGTCCGGGCTCGTGGTGCACATCGTGTAGTTGCCGCTCCTGAGACCCAAGCAAGAGTAGCCATGCATAGCCAACTTTGGACGGTTTCAGAAGACACCCGGAACAACAATCATGCATGCTGCTGAAGACACAGAAACGTGAAAGTAAGCAAAAGGGTCGCAGCAGTCATCGTGGATGCAGCAAGGACACCCGGAACAATAATCATGCATGCTGCTCTTTTCAACGAAGACACACAGAAAAGTGAAAGTAAGCAAGGGTCGCAGCAGTCATCGTGGATGCAGAAAGCACACCCAAAAGAGTAATCATGCCAGAAAAAAATCTAGGACCCAAAAACCAAACCATTCCAATTGCAGGCAAGGTTCTTGTTGACCTGAAACAATCTATTGATCAATTCAGTTTTGAAGAGCCTGGGGTTGCTCTGCTGGTCCGCGGACTCCCACAGCTTGCGAACGTCTTCGGGGACGTTGCCGGCCTTGAGCATGCGAGACATTTTTCTCGCTTTCCCGTAGTCGCGGACTTCCTTTTCGTCCGCCTCGCCCTCGTCGGTCTCGCCGCCCTCCTGGTCCTCGTCGTGGCCCTCCGCTTCCAGCACACGTTTGCTCCACTGCCTGGTCACACTTGCAAGCTTCTTGTTGCCCTTGTTCTTCTTGCTTTCGTCGTTGTTTTTGCCCTCCTCGTCCTCGGCCTCCTTTTCCTCCTCCTTGCCCTTGCTGCTGGGCTTGCTCTTGGGCTGTGCTTTTGCCTTCGCACTGCCCTTGGCAGCTGCTTTTGCCTTGGCCTTGGCTTTTCCTTTTGCCTTGGCCTTGGCCTGAACCTTCGCCTGGGCCTTAGCCTTGGCCTTCCCCTTGGCCTTTGGCTTCGTTGGGTTTTCCTTGGACTTCTTGTCGACTGCCTCCTCTGCCGAAGCCTCCTTCTGCTCAGGAGTCTCCTCTGCAGGCTCAGGCTTCTCGGAAGTCGTCGGTTTGCCCATGGCGAAAGAGCAGACAGGGCAAGGAGAGAGTGGGGCAGGACTTGTCCACCTCGCTGGTGGTGACACGTCTCGAGGGCCCTTCAAAAGAGCAAAGCTCTGCAGATGGACAGTTCAATGTCGCTTAGCAGCAGACAGACACAGAGTAATCATGTTGAACAACACCGAAAACACCATCAAGTCTGACAGTAACCAAGACAAGAGCACCCTCCCAAAGAATTACTTTACTCACAGCTTCTGCGGTGAGACCTAGAAGAACCACTTCTAACCCTGCATGCGACATGCACTTCAAACACTTTCCTAGCATCGCCCTCCGTGGTTTGCGACATCCACGCATGCCAAAACAAAGATGCCACATGCGGCTTCAAACGCTTTCCTAGCATCGCCCTCCGTGGTTTGCGACATCCACGCATGCAATGCCGAACCTAGCACATGCGGTTTCAAACGCTTTCGCAGAGTCGATGATCTGAACAGTAGACTATTATGCCGGCCAAGTAAACGCCGTCCGTCTCATTTATTCATACTATGCATCGAGCAGCAACGGAACCAAAAACTACCGACATGCTGATTCATGCGCAATTCAGGAGTTGCCAGACCTCTGCTTCCATGCTTCGTGTCCTTTCCTAGTCAGAGGTCGCAACCGCACACTCGACACAATGAATGTTGCCTTTTTTGTCCACTTTCTTGGCGAATTGCAGGTATGGAGATGCAGTGTTCTCTCCGCCCGTTACATTCCACAAGAAGAGGACGACGATGATGACCAGCACGAACACAAGCACGAGGAGGACGACGACGACAACGACGACGACAAAGAAAAGACGAGGACGACGAGCACGACACGAGGTATAGGGTTTCTTGCACCAGGACGACCACGACGACGACAACGACGACGACAAACAGAAGACGATGACGACGAGCACGATTGGTACTCAAACACCAACACCGAAACCTTAAGCCAGAAAAACCCAACCCGCCAAACCCCAAACACCAAACCCTCCTTCCCAAACCGCCCAAACCCTCATCCCTAAACCTAGACCCCAAATCCATAAACACCAACTCCACAAAACCCTCTCAAACCCAAACCCCAAACCCGCCCAACCCTATAATATCACCACACCTACACCCCAAATCCTCTTAAACCATGAAACCCTAATCCCGAAATCCCGCAGATCCTTAACCCCTAGACTTCCCTAAAGCCCTGAAACCTGAACCCCAGACCCCCATAACCCTAAACCCCAAAGCCCAGCAAAAAACATCCTAGACCCCAAGTCCTTAAAGCCTACACCCCTGAACCCTGAACCCCAGACCCCCGTAGCCCTAAACCCGAAAGCCCAGCCAGAAACCCCACACATCCCAAATCCTTAAACCCCGAACCATCCAAACCTGGAACCCCAAACCCTATAATCCCCAAACCCCACAAATCCTTAAACCCAACCACGAAACCCCCCTACAACCCAAATCCCTAAATTCTAAATATTAAAGTAATCACTATGTAGTCATACCCACAATAATCGGATTCGTAGTCCTACTCCGAGGAATAACATTATAGTAGTGTGATTATTATACTAGTTAAAGTAGCAGCAGTAGTAACCGTAGTAACCATAGAGTAGTAGCAGTAGTACTAGCCAGAGTAATAGTAGTAGCCATAGCAGGAATAGTACGGAGAGTCCTATAGGAATGCTAGGCAAGTTAGTCATAGTACGATCAGTAATAGTGGTAATAGTAGGAAAAGAATCGTGATACTAATAATGCTTAGAGAAATACTAGTAGTCATAGTACTAGGCCTAAACAATCCCTAACCTAGCCAATAGCGCCTAGGGTTAGGGGTGGGGGTGGGGGTGGGGTTGGGGGTGGGGGGTGGGGGGTGGGGTTGGGGTTGAGGGTGGGGTGGGGTGGGGGTGGGGTGGGGAGTAAGGGTGTTGGGGTGGTGGGGGCGGGGGTGGGGGGTGGGGGGTGGCGGGTGGGGGTGGGTGTGGGGGTGCGGGTGGGGGTGGTGGTGGGGGTAAGATTTTGTAAGGATTTCTTTTGTTTTTTTAATTTTTTTTGTTTTTTTTTAAAGATTTTATTGGTTTTCAACAATGCTGATTGCAAGTTTGTTGCAAGTTTGTTGCAAACTTGCAACAAACTTGCAATGGCCCATTGCAAGTTTGTTGCAAGTTTGTTGCAAACTTGCAACAAACTTGCAATCACCATTGCAAGTTTGTTGCAAGTTTGTTGCAAACTTGCAACAAACTTGCAATGGTGATTGCAAGTTTGTTGCAAGTTTATCAATTGCCATAGCCATAAGGTATACCAAAACCTATATATATATAGGTAAAATGATTGTTTTCAAACTTGCAATCACGATTGCAAGTTTGTTGCAAGTTTGTTGCAAACTTGCAACAAACTTGCAATGGCCCATTGCAAGTTTGTTGCAAACTTGCAACAAACTTGCAACAAACTTGCAATGGCCCGTTGCAAGTTTGTTGCAAACTTGCAACAAACTTGCAACAAACTTGCAACCCTGATAGTTGAAAACCAATAAAATCTTTTAAAAAACCAAAGATTTTATAAAAAAAATAAGAAACTCCTTAAAAAAATCCTACCCCACCACCACCCCCACCCCCACCCCCCACCCCCACCCCCACCCCCACCCCCATCCCCACCGCCCACCCCCCACCCCGACCCCCCCACCCCCACCCCACCACTCCTAAAGCCCTATACCACGTAAAAACCTAAACCCTCTCAAACCCTGTACCGTAAATACCTGAACTCTTATCACGACCAACCTTGAACCCCAGACCCCAATCCCCAAGCAACCCTGAACCCCTATCCCTAATCTCCCAAACCCCCAAACCCTAAACCCCAAAGCCGAACCCCCCTACACCCCAAATCCTTTAAGCCTGAAATCCTGAATCCTGAACCCTAAATTCCTCAATCCCTAAACCCCAAAGCTCAATAAGAGAAAGTGCTGGACTGACGAGAAACCTGTGGGCCGCTGGGAGACATTGCACAAAATAACCATGCAACTCTACATGCATCTGTCGCATACACGAGAAGTAACCATGGCTCCGACAACAAAGGGACTTAAGTAAACATGGCACGGCAACTCATTGTGGACACACTAGCTTTGCTTGTTTTCCCCGAGCTCGCCATGGACTTCGCTGTGCTGGCTCTCGCCAGGCCCTCGCCATGGACTTCGCTGCTGCCCGCTGCCGTGGACCTGGAATGGCCAAGGCGGTCACACGACAGGGTTTTGTTCCAAAGACCAACAGTAATCATGCAGCACTTCTGCCGAGCAGCTTTTGAAAAAACTTTCCCCTCTTTTGCTCCTCCTGCCACTGGAGAACCTGCCGTCAGCTGCCCGCTGCCGTGGACCTGGAATGGCCAAGGCGGTCACACGACAGGGTTTTCTTCCAAAGACCAACAGTAATCATGCAGCACTTCTGCCGAGCAGCTTCTGAGAAAAAACTTTTCCCTTTTCCTCCTCCTGCCACTGGAGAACCTGCCGTCATCATGCAGCGGACTTTGTTCCAAAGGCACACAGTAATCATGCAGCACAGATCCACAAAGATCGTGTTCTGCCGAGCCGCTTCTTTCGGCTTTGCTTTGTCCTTGCCACCGGAGCTCAGGCTCTTTTGCGACCTCGGTCGCCAGTGACAGAGACCCGAGGACACAGACAACAGTAGCCATGCACCACACGCTGGAACACAAACAGAAAAGTAATCATGCATCAGAAAACCAGACACACCCATCTACGATGACAAGCAGCTGGGACTCCGTGGTCGCCGCCTGCCTCTCCGACCTGGGCCCCCCAGCAAAGCTTTCGCAGAAAAGTAATCATGCAACACAGGTCAGGCAACACTTCTATAAAAGGACAAGCAGCTTCTTAAAACAGAAAAACCAGCTTGCAGGCAGGACACTGGCACAAAGGACAGGCACCAGAGCAGCAAGGACAGCTCGGCCGCACTATGCGGCCTCGCTCCATGTACATCTTGTGCCAGCCTGGCCGCCGCTGGCAACTCCCGGTGTGCTGCATCATGCTGCTGTTGTGAGCTAGCTGTGTCTGTGCCGTGACATTTGTGTGTCTGTGTGTGTCTGTGTGTGTCTGTCTGTGTGTGTGTGTGTGTCTGTGTGTGTGCCGTGTGTGCTGTGTGTGCTGTGAGTGCTCTCTGCTGTGGTCCTTGTTTGAAGTGCTCTCTGCTGCGGAGTGCTGTGTGTGTGTGAAGTGCTCTCTGCAATTGTCTCTTTAGAGGCTGTGCTGGTGCTCTCTGCTTTGCACACGGGCCTCAGAAGAGGCACCCCTTTGAGCTGCGAAAAACGGTTGCCGGGTTCAACATGTCTTTCCACAAGCTCCATGAAGTGGACAGTAAGCATGCGGGCACAGGAACTGCTTCTCTGGAAAGTCTCAAAAGCAAGCATGCCCAGACTGCTTCTGCAAAGAGCACTCACAGTAACCATGCCGCAATCAAGCAACAGTAAGCATGCACACCACGAGAACTGCAGAGTAAGCATGCTTCAAAAACACTGTGTTCATGCTAAGTACAAAGAGTAACCATGCCAGAAAATCTCAGCAGGCAAAGTGCCAAAAGTAAGCATGCCGAGCTGCACTTGCTTCCCCGGGTTTCTTCTCTTAGCTTCTCTGGCTTGTTTGGATCTTCGGGCTTCGGGTCTCCTGAAACAGATACAGTAAGCATGACACAAGCTGACGGAAAAGGTGGACAGTAAGCATGCCGAGCTTCGCTTGCTTCTCCGGGGGTTCCTTCCTAGCTTCTGTGGCTTGTTTGGATCTTCGAGCTTCGGGTCTCCTTACAAAAGCCCAGAGAGTTTTTCACCGGAGGCGGGCAGCTCACTCATCCGGCTCGCCCAGACCCCCGCTCAGGTAGAGCCGGATGGCATCATCATCCGGCTCCGTGGAGGTCTCCTCCGTGTCCGCTTCCTCTGCCCTGGGCAGCACGAAAAAACAGAAAGTAAGCATGCTCACAGGGTACATTTTTATAGGGACACTTTAGCTTCCTTTTACTTTAGGTCCTAAAGAGCTTCTGCCTGAAAAAATAAAATAATCATGCCTGGAGAAAAAGTAACCATGCCAAGACCTCAAGAAAAACTGAGCCAAGTTTCGGGGAGGTTGGCTCCTGGTCCATGTCTTCGACAGGCTGCGACCTGAAGCTTGGGAAGGAAGAAGTAAGCAGCTATTCTTGTTTCTCCGTGGGTTAGAAGACTTTGACAAAGAACTGAACACCCAAAGCAAGGACACCGTACTATGCTAATTGCTTCCAGTGTCGGCGAAAGAGCAAAAGTGGCAGCACTTGGACCAGAAGGCAGACTTGGCGCTTGCGGCCTTTGCTGCCAGCATCTGAAGACAGAGGGTTCAACTCTGTGTTTATAGAACAGTAATCATGCCACAAGCAGAGTAATCATGCCAGAAGCACAAACCCGGTACTGCTGAATTGCATCGAGTTTCGGAGCGACCTCCTCAGCACCGTCACCAGCTGCAGCTTCGGGCGGGGCTGTTGGCTGCCTTTGCTGGTGTTTAGAGAACAGTAATCATGCCACAAGCAGAGTAATCATGCCAGAAGCACAAACCCGGTACTGCTGAATTGCATCCAGTTTCGGAGCGAGCTCCTCGGCACCGTCACCAGCAGCAGCTTCGGGCACCGGTGTTGGCTGCCTTTGCTGGTTTTAGGCTTCTACCAAAAAAGAATTAGGGTACAGTAGAGAAAAAGCAGCAAAGTAACCATGCCGACACCCTAAAAAAAACAACTGCCCCTGATTGCTTCCAGTTTCGGAAGCAGCTCCTCAGCAACGACACCACCTGCAGCATCGGCCGGGGCTGTTGGCTGCCTTTGCTGGCAGAGCTCCATTAAAACACAGTTTTAGGCTTCTACCAAAAAAGGTTTAGGGTACAGTCGAGAAAAAACAGCAAAGTAACCATGCCGAGACCCTAAAAAAAAACTGCCCCTAATTACTTCCAGTTTCGGAAGCAGCTCCTCAGCAACGACACCAGCAGCAGCATCGGCTGGTGCTGTTGGCTGCCTTTGCTGGCAGAGCTGCATTAAAACACAGTTTTGGGCTTGTACCAAAAAAAGGTTTAGGGTACAGTAGACAAAAAGCAGCAAAGTAACCATGCCGAGACCCTAAACAGAAGACAAAAAGAAGCAAAGTAACCATGCCGAGACCCTAAACAACAACAACTGCCCCTAATTGCTTCCAGTTTCGAAAGCAGCTCCTGAGCAACGGCAAAACCACCAGCAGGCATTGTCGGCCCCGGCCTTTGCTGGTAGCTGCATTGAAACCCAGTTTAGGGTTGCATCAAAAAGGTTTAGGGTAAAGTAAAGCAAAAGAAGCAAAGTAACCATGCCAAAGCCCTACAAAACTAGAAAAGTGTTGAAGTGCTTCCAGATTCAGAGGCAGCTCGTGAGCACCTGAACCAGGTTCGCCAGCACCCTGACCACCAGCAGCAGTGTCAGCAGTGGGCCTGAAAAGACAAGGTTTAGGGGACTGCACAAAACAAACAAAGTAACCATGCCCCACTAAAACATGCTATATCTGCTTGCTTCCAGAAGCCTCCGGGCCAACACACGAGCCACACTGCCCTTTGCGGTTTTCACAGGTGGAGCCTTTTCTGGCCTTTGCTGGTAGCAGAATTGAAACACAGTTTAGGGGTGCACGGGAAAGGTTTAGGGGACTGCAGACAACAAGCAAAGTAAGCAAGCCACACTCTGCTAGAGCTGCTGAGCATCAGAGGCGTGCAAACCGCACCAGTCCCCTGGCTACCCATGGCCTTGGAGGTGGTCTCCTGTTCAGGGGATTACAAAAAGCACCAGAGAAAATCCAGTAAACTTCTTAAGCATGAGTGTATACATATAGATATATAGATATATATATATATATAGACAACAAGTAGCCATGCCACAAAAACAAAAAAAGTAATCATGCCGCACACACAGCTGCTCCTGCTTGTCAACAGGGTAGTAAAAGATCTCTGGAGCAGCAGTCCAGATGTTCTGCTTCTGCAGTGGCTGGGGGGTGCTCGGCCTGGCCTTCTTCCGGGGAGGCGGTGCTGCCTTTGGCGCCGGTGGCTCCGGCGGGAAAGTGGGTGGTGGCACTGGTGGTGGTTTTGGGCGGAGAGGTGGCCGTGCTGCTGCTGCTGGTGCTGGTGGTGGTGGTGGCGGTGGTGGGAGGGTTGGTGGTGGTGGTGGGCGAAGGGGTTTGGTGACAGGTGGGGGGATGGGTGGTGGGGTGGGGATGGTATGGTTGACATCCGGGGAGAATGTCGCCCATGTGTCCCTGTCCCCCAGACGATGGCCTCGCAGCAGCCTTGTGGTCAGAGGGATCTCAAAAGAAACAAAAAGCAGCAAAGTAACCATGAGCAAACCAGAAAAACAAAAAACATTTCTAAGTGCTTCTCAAAGCAACAAAAGTAAGCATGAACAAAGCAGAAAAAAAAAACATTTCTAAAAGTGCTGTCGGGCATCGCAGCGTAGTGCTGGCCCTGCGAGAACCCCACTCGGAGGTGTATGTAGGCCGACGAGACATCACTCTGTGAATCTCGGCCAGGGAACATGAAAACGTTCACCGCCTCCTCGTCAAGCCCTGTCTGGGCCGCCGCCCACCGCTGGACGTCGCCAGCAAACCATGCCAGCGGCAGGTTTTTCACGTAAACCCGCACAGTAGCCATGCTGGGTTTACGTGAAAAAGTCCTAGACACGAGTGCTTGTCTGTGCTGTGACTGCTGTGCTGTGTGTGTGTCTGTGTGTGCTGTGTGTGCTGTGTGTGCTGTGAGTGCTCTCTGCTGTGGTCCTTGCTGTTTGCAGTGCTCTCTGCTGCGGAGTGCTGTGTGTGTGAAGTGCTCTCTGCAGTTGTCTCTTTAGAGGCTGTGCTGAGTGCTCCCCTGGTGCTCTGCTTTGCACAGGCCTCTGAAAAGGCCCACCTCTTTCAGCTGCGAAAAACGGTTGCCGGGTTCAACATGTCATTCCACAAACTCCAAGAAGTGGACAGTAAGCATGCGGGCACAGGAACTGCTTCGGGAAAGTCTCAAAAGCAACCATGCACAGACTGCTTCTGCAAAGTGCACTCACAGTAACCATGCCGCAATCAATCAACAGTAACCATGCACACCACGACAACTGCAGAGTAAGCATGCTTCAAAAACACTGTTCTCATGCTAAGTACAAAGAGTAACCATGCCAGAAAATCTCAGCGGGGAAAGTGCAAAAAGTGATCATGCAACAAACATATGTTTCTGGATTGTGCAAACAGTAGCCATGCAACAAAAACTTCTTAAGGAAAATGCAGATAGTAATCATGTAGCAAAGAACAGCTGTTTCTGGAAACGATATACGGACAGTAACCATGCAGCACAATGTGTGTTTTTTCTAATTACCAAAAGAGGAGAGCTGTTCAGGGCTTCTCTGGCGCCAAGCTTTGGGCCTTTGAGCTGTTGCTTCAAAGTTCGGTGTTAAACTACAAGGCTTCAAACCCACTGAAAGACAAAAGCCTCTCCCTGAACACCCGGAAAAGGACGGGGTGAGTGCTCCCTGTGAGGCTTCTTCTGCTGCTCTCTTTTTTCCAAGACACCGACACAGGTCTTGCAGCCTTCAGAGGACCGAGACTTAAGCCGCACAGATGTGCAAGAAGCAACCGCTGCTTCCTTCAACTATAAAAAAGGCATGTGAAGAGACTGTGAGGAACAAAAGAATCCCTATAATGTTTGTCAACCACTCTAAACACGATACACTATTGCCAACCGGAACCACACATTGCCCAGGCCCGGACCTTGCCGGAGTACTGTCACAAAGAGATTCCTGTGTGTATGCTTGGAACAAAAAGCAGCTAGACTTTTGCTAAAGACAGACGATACACACCACAACTGGCTTTTATAAGGGTTTAGAGTTGGGTCCAACATCTGGCACAAAACAGCATACACACGGAACATCTCTCCGAAAAAGCCCTCTACTCCTGAGAGGGCTGTATCTCCCCTTTGTCCACCTTCTCACTCCACCGTGCCCTCGCTTCTCTCGCCTCCGCCTTTGCCGAGTCGGGAGACAGACCACGGCCGAGGGCAGCCACTCTCCTCACAAACTTGTTTCTGCTGGATACATGTGTGTGTGTGTGAATTACATAGGGTTTAGGGTTTAGGGTTTTATAAACCAAATCGCCAAACTTTCTTGAAGAATGTCCCAGGTTCGCCGAGTGGTAGACACGGGAAGACTTGCGGTGTCGCCAGGTGCTCTTCAAGAAGACTCCGTTCTTTACCTTCTGTGTGTCTGGTTCTAATCATGCAGCTTGTCAAAAACAGTAACCATGCGAACAAGTAACCAGTAAATAATCATGCAGCTCCTCACAAAAAATAGCCTTAGACCGCCTCTACGAAATAAAAACTATTCCAATATGCACCAAGCAGGTCACGGTAGCAGCAGGAGCTTTCGCCGTCGCTTTGGCCTTCGCAGTCCCTTTGGCCTTCGCCGTCGCTTTAGCCTTGCCCTTGGCTTTAGCCTTTGTCCTGACCTTCGCCTTGGGCTTTTGGACACTCACGTCTTGAGTCATCCAAGAGCAAAGCTCCTCCTCTTCGTCCACGTTCAGGAAGAAGCTTGCCAGGCTTCGCTTGAGCTTCGGCAAAGCCAAAGCTTCGCCACTCGAGGAACCCTTCTCCACCATAACCCCCTCGCGACTCGCTTCCGAGTCCTTCCTGGCGAGGACTCTCGCGAACACTGCAGACCCGGCAGGCCGTGCCGCTGCTGC